AAGCAGAACGCTAAATAAATGAACAGGAAAAGAACCCATTCAGGTTTTAGGTCCTTTTAAACAAAAGAAAATCTGAGTTATCAACCAAACACGTTCAGATCCCAGCAGGAGGAGCGGCGGCTGCAGCTGACTAACTGCTGTCGGGTGAAAGAACAGAAAATAAAACCGAAACTAAAGAGTGACTTATCAGGCTCCCTCATGAAGCTGACGCATGTCCGCCGTTCTTACGAGACGTTCCAGCGCCTTCCGCACTGCTGATGACGATGTAGACATACTGTCCTAAAACAAGCCACACCTCCCGTGACTCATCACGGCTCCGATAGGAGGCGTGACGTCGTCTTCCCACAGGGATGGGCCCGCACCGAGTCCCGACACCAATCAGAGAACCACCAGGATGTGCTGCAGTGTTCCGGCGCTCCCATCCTCCATTCTACGTCTTATTGATGGAAACAAGCGTGGTGACGACGCTGCAGAGACGGATCGAAGTGACCAGAGGCGGTTTAACGGATATTCACTCCACCTTTCCACACCTGCCGTGTTCGGTTTGTTGGGTCCAACTGAATCTGTTCCTCCGCGCTGGCGTGAACACAGGAAACACCTGACTGAGACTCGCTGCAGGAGGAAGCCTTGTTTGGTTTGGAGTGCCAACGTGACCTGACGCAACCACCATGTCTGTGCTGGATGTTTGAGCCAAACTCCCTCCTGCAGCGGTTGTGTTGCATTCTGGGATGCAGGAGGACACAGACATAAGCAGCTACTGAGTAGCTCCTAGCTAGCGGAGAACGAAGCGAGGGCTCAGGTGGATGATCAACAAGACTTGTCACCTGGTGGATATGTGGGCCAATGACCATATTCATCATATCTGACTCAACACACACCGAAGGAGGGGAGGGTCAGAGCATGTCCGCTAGCTTGGGATTAGAACACCTCATGCTAGCCCCCGCCCCGTTTTCCAGTGTCGGGAGTTATGAGCTCGACACGCGGGAGGCGACATCGCCTCTCCTCCATTCATTTTCAATGAGACATGCGCGACAAAGCGATAATCGCGGGTCTCCCTCCTGCTAAGCGAAACGCGAAAAACGTGCGTGTGAAATTTTGCGCTCGCGCACGTGTCGTGCACAAGCGACCCAGCGACGCGATCCCAGAAAGTTGAAACATTTTTTAACTTTTCATCGCCGTTGCTCGGACGAGGACCAATCAAAGGAGGAATCATTCACTGACCAATGAGTGGACAGGATGCTCCGCACACCTCCGGGCAAACATGGAGGAGAAGTTGATTATTATTATGTTTTATAGTAAAATCAGAAGTAAGATTTCACACAACTCGAGCAGCACCTTGTGAAACATCATATCTACCACTTAATTAACTCTGAACCGCTTAAATAACCTTAATTCCCTCCAACCTGACACAGCCAAGCAAAACAACAGAAGTTTCGATGTCGCCATGGAACAGAACGCGTAGACGCGTAGCTTTGCTGCTGATGGTGGTGTGTCAGGTAATAAAAGCGACGAAGGAATTCGCTGATCGCGGTCGTTTGTCGCCTCCCGTCTGTCGAGCCCCTTAGATTTGAAATGCGATTGTTGCTTTTTTTTGCTTCCACTCTGCTTCACCAGCTGCGTTTCTAATTTTACTGCTGCCGGTTGTTTTGGACGTCTGCTGATGTCATTTCCTACCGAGTTACACCCAATCAGCGTGAGTTAACCGGCGGTTCCGCTCAGCTACTCCACCGGACTGTTCAGAGCACCTCCTCCAGAGCAGGTACTCAGAAGATTCCTGAAAACGGCCCAGTCAGGTGGAGACGCGCGCATGTCGGGAGGTTCCTGTAAAGCTACCCTGTCGCCTCTAGCTGCTTTACTTGATATTAGAGTAAAACAAGAAGATGGCGTGGCTTCTTAGGGACTACGTTAAGATTAGAGAACCCTCTAGAACAGGGTTTGGTTTTTTTTACCTGGGATCCCTCCAAGTTAAAGGTCTGAGCGTTCTGGCAGAGGAGCATCACGTCCTTCTCCAGGTCTCCCAGACTCCTGTATTTATGGTTCCTTGCTCGTTCCTGTTGACAGAAAACATGAATAAAGGGGCTTGAGGCCCAGATCAACTGACCCCTCACAGGTTTATCTTAGAAGGATCACAGCCAAGTTAAGCTAAAATCCCACAGTCGTCATCACACACTAGTGAAATGACATCTCCGCGTCTGAACCATCCCCTGGTAGATCGGTGAGCTGCAGCAGGAGGCTCACTCGTGGTTTAAATCCCCGATCCAACATTTTAAACCCGAGTGTCAAGCACCGAGATATTTTTGAAGTCTTTGGTATGACCAGGCCAGGACTTGAACCCACAACCTCCTAGTCCCAAGGCAGACACTCTACCACTAGGCCACTGAGAAGAAAACAAACCTTTATCTTCTTGAAGTCCACGGGCTTTCTGATCAGCTCGTAATATTCCGGGAGTTCCTTCCTGGATGGAAGCTGCACAAACACTTCGCTTAGTTGTCTTCCTGAGCTGCAAACACAACCAGACCGAGTTAGATGACCTATTACCACGACCAACGAAAGCAGACTTTAGTTTGTCCCTCCTGAGCTACTGTAGTCTTATGGAGGTAAACCAGTCACGTCTTTGCACTGCCACTAGGACTCTGACAGGCGGCTGGATTTGGGCCTAAAAGCGTACAGGTGTGTCATTTTAGTGCAAAACCTGACAAAGTCAACAAAAACCACAAAGGTCAGCTGCACCGCTCAGTGGAACCGAGGCAAAAGGCTGGAAGTGTCATTTCAGCTGCTGGGATCTAGGCTCTCGTTGCCGTGGGTGACAGTTTAGACGGACCTGTAGATTAAGACCTTTGCCTTCAGCTCAGCTCCGTCTTCACCTCCTCAGACCCGATTACCCCCAGTCACCTCCCGCCACAGTTCCCTCCTTTAGAACACGTTTACATAACCCTGAGGTTTCTGAGCCAACCACCACCTTTTATCTTTATCCCAATAATTCCCTTTATCCAGCACCTGAATGCCTGCCCTTTATGGGTTGTAGTAAAAATAATTCAGGACTTTTTAAAAGTTTGAGTGAGAAAAAAGACCCAACTTCCCCTGAAGCCGTCCGTATAATCAGCAGCATCTGTTTGAGCGGTTCGTGCAGAATCAGTGGGGGTCCTTTTGCTATCTGGGTGGAACCGCCGAGTGAGAAATCGAACGCAACCCCGAGCAACAGCGGAGAAACTCGCTTCATATCGACAAATTCTCCTGAAGTCACTTTTCTGTCATCTGCAAACTTGCTGAGTGGCGTCTGATGTGATGCATTATGGGTAACGGCTTTGGCTGCACAAACCATCAGTCAAATTGTGTGTGTGTGTGCACATGCATAAGTACATGGATGTTTAAAGTAATGAACGTTTTAGTTTGTTTAGTTTCCTCCTCACCTCCAGAGGATTTTCTGACGTTCCACAAAGATCTTCTAGGAAAATAGTGGCTGAGGAATATTTACAGCTTTGCTCCATGACCGACAGCTCCGTCTTCACCTGCAGTTTCTCCTGAGCTCATTTCCCCCGAGCTCACAAGCAAGGCAGCACGAGTTAACTTAGAGAAGTAAGTGTGTGTGTTGTTTATGAACACAAGTCTTGTAAACAAAGCAGCTTGATTATTCAGGTAAGAAGCACGGTTTTGTTCCAAAAGCAGCAAGAGTGAAAACCTGACGAAGCGATTTCAGCCTGACTGTAGCCATCAGTGGCACACTTCAGTAAACAGTCGAGCTCAAACGTTTGATGTAAACAAACACAAACTGGAAAATATTCTCTGATAAACTAATTGGTGCGTTATTCCTGAGGATTGAGCTGCAGCAGCAGGACGGACGCTTTAACCCGACGTGGTTCTGAAGGCGGTTTCTCTGCATTTATTCGTAAAAACCGTCAGACGCTGAAACTCATTATTCTAGTAGAAACAACCGGTTTAGACGTCTCTGGCATGTATTTATTCACAAATAAATGAAGTGGGAGTGACGGTGAGACCCTGTCGATGAGATCAGAGCAGCAGCCATGTTGCAGAATGGGTGGTCACATGACTGCTTCAGCCAGGTGAGACGGACACCGGGTGAACATGACAAACATTCAAGTGAAGAACAAGTCGGGCTAACAAGAGGAACAAAGCTGCCTTCAGAAACCAGAGCCTCTGGCACCAGAATGGAAACTAAACAAAACCCGGATAATGGCTGGATGTGGAAAAGTGGAACGGATTCAATCAAAAAGACAGAAACGTTTTCATCAGCGTCGCTTCCATCGTCCCGCCCATCGGCTAATCGACCCAAAGAGTGACCGGACCCGGGATGGGTACCTTTGACATTTGAATCGATTCGGTACTAATTCCCAGTACCTAGGAATCGATACCGGTACTTAACGGTACCAATTTGAGATACTTTTGAGTGTTTAATAATTTAATTCTCTTTTATAATTAAATATAGATTTCTCTCAATATATAACCATATTTGATAAACATCATGATAAATAACACACAACTGTTTGTATTTTAACATCGTCCTTGTAGTTTTATAAGCTGATAATTAAACTGAAGCAAACATCTTTACTGTGAACTAAATTTACTGTGTATCTTCATTCCTTTTGACGTCTTTTTTCATTTGATTTTTCCTACTGGGAAGTTAGAATTTCCGAGGAGAAAGCAAACGCACCATTAGCTGATAACAATGGTGGCAATGGAAGCTAACATACCAAGCTAACGCCATCTTTAACAGTTTATTTAGCTGCTGGAGCAGATTAAAACGATGATGCCTCACACTTAGATCGTTGTCACTGGTTTCATCTTCACCCAATCACCCGTCGCATTTAGTAAAGTGAAGCCAAACTTTAGAGTGCGTTCATGTTGTTCTAGTCGGAAATTCGGAGTTCCGAGGAGAAAGCGAACGCACCATTAGCGAAACGGAAGCTAACATATCAAGCTAACGTTATCTTAAACATTTTATTTACCTACCGGAGCAGATTAAGATGAGGATGTCTCACTTAGATCATTGTCGCTGGTTTCATCATCACCCAGTTACCCATCACATTTAGTGAAGTGGACCCAAGCTTTAGCGTGCGTTCTTTCTACCATGCTGCTCTGTTTACAACTCGCTCGCAGCGACCGACGACATAACGCTCTTGCGCAGCTTTCTAGGCAAGCTCTCGTTATGAAGGACGGGTACCGAAACAAGGCACCGTTTCAAATGATGTGAATCGGTGCTCAGTCGGTACTGTGGAATTCGGTCGGCACCTTAAAAAGTACCGAATTCGGTACCCATCGCTACCGGACCGCAGGAGCTCAGGAGGTAGAGCGGGTCGTCCAGTAAACAGGAAGGTTGCAGGTTTGATCCAGGCTCCGACCAGAGATTTCTGCTGTTGTGTCCTTGGGCAAGACACTACCCACCTGCCTGCTGGTGGTGGTCGGAGGGACCGGTGGCGCCTCTGCCAGGGCGTTCCAGGGCAGCTGTGGCTACACTGTAGCTCATCCCCACCAGTGTGTGAATGGGTGAATGACTGATTGTGTTGTAAAGCGCCTTGGGGGGTTGTAAGGCGCTAAATAAATGCAGACCATTTACTGTTTACCAGTTACGAGACCCAGATCTGCTGATTAGTGATTCAAACATGTCAAGAAACTTCAACATGGAGTTCAGCACCTGCTAAATAATAAATCCTCCAACATATTTTTAAAAATAAAATAACACTAATCATTAAATATCATTAAACTAAATAAATTCTAACTAAAACTTCATAAATCAGATTTGAAATGAAACTAAAATGTTGGGGCAACATTACACAACCATCTGTAACATTTTGAGGTTTATTTCTAAGGTAAATATTTTAGAGGCAGATAAAAGTGAAGCAGCATCAGAGCCGCAGTGACAGGAGCTCCTCCCTGTGCAGCACCAGGTAAACACTCTGTAGTAAATGAAGCAGCTGTAAGCTCGTGAAATCAAGCCGACGTTAAACCGTGGTCTGCTGCTCTCTGCCAGAGCGGCGGTCAGACTCGGATCATCAGATGCCTGTCAGCCGGGACGCCAGAGCCAAAAGGGGATGGGAAGTCCTCAAAGATCAAAGGCGGTTTAATGTCACGGCTTGTGACAAACAGAAGACTCGTGGACAGAGCAGCGTGTTCCCACATCAGCTGATCTCCACAACAACGCACCTTGTTGTACGGAGGAAATTAAACCCAGTCGGATGTGATAAGACTTTATTAAACTCCAAGGAGCTAGCTCCCATTCAGACTAGGTCTGTCTATATTGGAATTCCACCCTAACGTTGGGATCTAAAGTCCTGGAGTGGGAACGTCAGGACTTCTCCTCTCTAGGGAGGTGAGAGAAGTGCCACAGGTGTGACTGAGATGATCTAAGTGGGAGAAAGAATCCTGGGAAGCCAGGAATCCGTTTCCTGGAAACACTTCAGCCGCTGCATATTTGAGCGACAGGAACACAGGCACTGCTCTGGGCTGGGAGCGAGTCTTAGACACAAACTCGTGCTTTTTCCTCTCAACGAGACACCGACTCACTCTGGTGTTAACTCCAGACCTCCTGTTGCTGAGACATGACTTCACGTCTGCTCCGTCTGAAGGGAGGAATCTGGAGCTTCTGTTGGACGATTGAGGCTAGAACACGGCCTCAGATTTATGCTGCAGATGTATTCATTTATAGTTTTGATCCCCTGCAGGAAAAAATCTATTTCCCAAACAAATGCAGAGAAGCTCCACCTAAACTGAGGAGTAGGGCTGCAACGATTCGTCGACGTTGTCGACAAATATCGACAACACACACAGTCAACGATGAATTTCATTGTCGACGTTGTCCCCAGACGTGTTTTTTCCGACCGAGTGAGGCATCTCACTTCATTACAATCTCTGCCGAGAGTCGCACGTGCGCAATAGCTTCTCTGCTGAGCGCCAACTAACAGAAATGGCGGCGTCCGATACCGCAGCTACGCGTACCAAAGCATCTAAAGTTTGGGAGCATTCTAGCCTGGATTTGGCGAATAAAAAGATGACCTGCATTATTTGCAAAGCAGTCCTCGCGTATCACGGCAGCACCTCGGTGATGCACGAACACTTAACGAGAAAGCACGTTGGACAGTTGAATGAAACAGAGTCTGACTCACCTCGGTAAGATTTAAATAACACGAAAGCCAACACGTTTTATTTTGGATGTACATTTTTTTAACGTATTTCAGCTTTTAAAAAAAGAGAGATTTAATGTTATGCCCGACTGTGCCTGACAAAAGTATTTTAATTTTATTTATGCATTTATGTCTGTACTGACTGGGCACTGTGCCAAATTGGTGTTAGACGGGGTATTTTTATTTACTTTAGTATGAATTGGCCTATCAGCAGCAAACTTCAATAAAATATGCATTTTCCACTGAAGTACCCATCTTTCTTGTGTTTATTATAATTTTTCACATAATTAAAACAATCTCGTGCTAAATTTAAGAGAAATGTAATAATTATCCGATTAGTCAACTAATGATTTCAATAGTCGGT